TTGTAAGAAATACATATATACATAATTTGTCGATTGTATGTGTCCTTGTATCTCCTTAAAATGCTAGAATGTCCCAAGGATAGGTAAAAAAAAGAAGAAAAAAAGACAGTTCAGCATTCTCTCTCGGAACAGATCAAGATGACCCAGGCAACAACTGCACATGCACTTGCCTCTGAGGGAGATGTACGCAAACTAACGCTTCAGACCCGATGCAGTCTACTCCTGACAGCAGTTCCCTCATGAAACTTGAATTTAAAACCCGATGAAATCTTAAAGCATGAAAATTCATAATAAAAAAGAGAGAAAAAAAACTGAAGGGCATACTATTCAAAGGCCAAAGTTGTTATTTGCTTGCGAGTATGCTTGAGGATGGTTATTTTCATTTTCGAAGTTTTACCAGACAAAACTGGGAAATTTTGGCGATGTTGATATGATGATTCCAAGTCCCGGTATGTTAGGGTAGTTAACAGTTCTGATTCTATTCATGTGTATAAATAATCGCGTGTAGGAAAATATAGACCAGTGAGAGCTGGTTACGTTTTACCAATTTCTCGAAAACGCCCAAAAATGTTTTCATGATGGAGTAAACAGTATTCAGAGACAAGTGCGGCGTTCCTCTGGTTAGACGAAAGGCGATCAACATGCGCTAGAACTTCAAGATGATATGTTTATATTTTATTGTATATAATGCATGTGGCACCATGGAAGTGAAAATGATTAATGCACTCGTATAATGTGCTTACAACGCGATCGTTTTTTTTCGAAGCCGCTCGAGATATTGACTCACTGATCGCAGAACTCATTACTACGATATGTCAACTAGTTTTACTATGCATTTGCGAAAATTAATATTTTACCATCAGCAATGCCTGTTCTTCCATATCTCGCGTATTCTCTTAATATTATTATAGTCTTCTTTACGACTTCAATAGTCACTCAAATAATTCTTTATAGAAATCTCCGTTTGTACGTTTTCGTATGGATTGACTATTTTTAAAACACTGTATTGGTTATATCTGATATCTGAGCCCAAGCACAGAAAATGTGCAATTAGGTACCGATCAATTCAGACAATTTACGGAATCAAAAAAACAATTCGACGGTCCTCTCTACAAAGGCATGTGGATTTCCAGAGGGCATATTATAAGTAAATGAAATAATTGTGTAATCTATACCAAGATAAAGGCTCGAGTGTCTTTTTGCTGCGTTAGAATACTGCCTCAAATTCTCAAGTCCGTTACCCTGGTTGTCCTGTAGGCGGAGAGCCCTGGCCGGGTGGTTAGCTCGAGTGTATGGCGAGGGAGTAGGGAAGACCGGCAAGGGGAGGGGGCCAGAGATTATATGGCTAGAGCTGTTTGTGCGAATACCACGGGCTCTAGAGGGCAGAGTATAGGCTATTGTTTGAGAACTATGGAGCTCACTGGCTAGGAGTTAGGTCATGTTCTTTAAGTGGTGAGATTACGCCCATCGGGGTAATGAAGCGGTGTGTAGTGGGTAAGGAAGCACTTTTGAATAGTGTAGTTCATGGAGTAAATTGATAATTAATGGCTAATTAAGACAGCAGATAAGCAAATAATTAGATAAACACATAATGAAATAACGTATAAGGAAATAAAAATCTTTCAAACAAAATGTAAAAGAAAATTTGAGTAAACCAATTAATTTCCTCTATCTTCAGCAACTAAAGAGAAATGTGGCAGGGCAATGGTAATTTATAATAACACTGAGGAGATAACAGTGAGTAAAATTAATTTAGTCCTTTATTTACCACCCTGGCTAACTGCATGTCATCGCATTATAAAATGGTATTACATTTAAATTTTAGGCTACATCCTTATTATGATCTGCACTATTTCGGTTAAAGAAAAAGGACAATGACACAGTCATTTATCTAATTCATCTGTCACACCAGCGTACAGCTTGGGCGTGGAAATTGTTACATTGTTACATTTGATGTGCGACCATGTGATACTACATTTCAAATATAGAATACAACATATCTTCTAAGACATCAGATGATATGAAATGGTTACATAGTTCTCTGTACCTCATGCTAGGTGGAGGGGTTCTCTAATAGATTTGACACTCACTGTGGTATTTATGTATAATATTCTTTCTTTCGTAAACAGAAGGTAAATTAAGTCCTGTTTTCATATTCACAATCCTTGTTTGTTCTAGGGGCACCAAGAATGATCCTCATGGCCTCACTTTGTACAATTTCAAAATTAGTTAACTCTGATTCCTTGAACAATATTAGGTGCAATGTACGATAATCTATGACTGACTGTATGTATGGCAAGTAAAAGAGTCTTGCAATACTGACTTTAACACCAGGTCTTTGCCAACAAATGTTCTAAGTGCCTTCAGCCTTTTCTTCAGGTTTCTGACGATCTCTTCATCACCCCGAGGTATTGGTGGCAGAGATCTAACTCAGTCATTTATATGAAGCATTGACAGAGGAGTTGTCTTTGGGTTAAGTACCTTGTTTTTTAAGTCGAGATTATCAAGCCACACTTAGTAGTCCTTGCTGAAAGTAGAATCTGTTGTATTCTCTCATCGATGAGGATTTAATGCAAATATTATAGGCATAGCAAATAATGGCGTCATTTCCCTCCAGTGGTATATCGCCTAGAAATATATGCATTGATGATGTTGAATAGCATGGGACTAAGTGCGCCTCCCTGAGGTGTGCCGAGTTCAGACACTTCCGTATGAGTCCTCTTAATGCTCCTGAAGAGAAACCAAACTGATCAATTAGATAGATACATTTGAATTCATGTTAACAGTTTTCTCTGAATAACAGAGCTAGCTAGTTGGTCGAGCATAATTTCTATGTTTGCAATATCAAAGGCAGACTGAAGATCAAGAAATGCGTGCCTGGGTTTGAGTTTGTTAAGTACGCTACAAAACAACGCTCACTGCTATGTCCTGAGAGAAATCCATACAGTCTGGGGGATATCTTGACAATTATACGATACATGTCTCTTCAGAATTACTCTCAAGGATTCTGCACAGACAAGGGGTCAATTAAATCGGTCTGTTTTTATCACCATTGGGCTTAGGTATATAAATGATTAAGCTTTTAGCCCAGGAGCTTGGGAGGATTCCTTGTGAAAGGCTGAGTCTATGCAGTTGTAGAAATGGGTCGCCTGGTACCTGCGCAATGAGGCGAAGGACGCTGCAAGTGATGCCATCCTCTCCTGTTTCCGACTTGTCGAGCTGATCTTTTATTCCTTGTGGAAACGAGTTCAACTGAGAATTCTCGACCCACTGTTCTACCAGCATATTAGCCTGTTCTTGTGGTCTGTGAAACTGCGGTGTCGTGAGAGCTTTACCTGTCAGCCTATTATTTTTGTCCATACGTCAGCTACAGGATTTTGACTATTAATGCTTTGCAAGATTTATTCCCAGTGTTTAATACGAACCTGAGTTTTTAATTCTCTGAATTCCTTGTTGGCTTTAAGAAACCGTATAAGATTATCTCACGTCATATAATTAGCAAGTCATGGCTCCGTGTCTTGAAGCTCCAGGCCCGAAGGGATCATTATTCTGAGCATAGGTGATTTAAGGTGTAAATCATCTAAAGTATAGCCTGTTCGGATTGCAAAGTAGTCACTAAATAACTCTCGTGAAGTACAGATATTACCATAAATTAGATTTTTTGCCAAATTCGTAATCTAGCCTGCTATATCTCAAATGAATCTCTGCTTCTGTGTCATATACTGTCAATGATCTACTATTGAGTTCGCCCATGCATAACTTGCCATGGTTGTCAACATTTTTAAATGATACAATTGAACATCAGTGTATTCATCATATGTGAATAGTGCTTTATTAGGCAATCTGTACTTCATGCGGTTATATCATCTAATATTACGGATTTTAGATTCACATAAGAAACATATAACTTTATGAATATAGATTTCATTACATATGTTAGTCGTAAATTTTAAAAGTAATTTTACCCATTTCAAACATTTGGTCTTAGCTTTGTTCCACTTCTCAGCACAGTCCCTTCGGTTGCTGTGCCAGATGCACCTGGGGGGCTGGTTGCGTCACTGGACTCGATGTCACAGGGATCCTCATATTGTTCGTCGCTACTGTCGGCGCTGACACGCCCACTCTGGTTATCAGCATTTTATGAATTTATATATATATAATATATATGTAATATATATATATAATATATATATATAATATATATATATATAATATATATATAATATATATATATATATAATATATATATATATATAATATATATATATATATATATATATATATATATATATATATATATATATATAACATATATAATATATATATATATGTATATATATTTTTTTCTTTTATGTCAATGCGATGGGTTTGGTGACCGTAGATTTTAAAATAGATGTTTATGGCACTAAATTACTCCTGGCTGCTAGGAATGACCGCGACTACTATCCACTAACAGCGCTTGACCAGCACAAGCAAGCAAAAACTGAAACATGCTAAACGAGAACAATTACGAAAGAACTCCCATTTCCCTGTCCACAGACAATCCAAAATACTACGATAGATTAATTAAATGCCTAAGCAATGAAGAAGGTGCTTGTCCCTCATGAAACTTAATGACAGTCCCTTTGTGAAACCGAACACACCTGGTTTCCTTGTCTCACGCTTTACAAAAAACTTAACTTGAAGGGCAAGAGAATTATAGAAAATACCTACTTTACAAAGTCTCTGTAGGCAATGTTTATGTAGCTACGAAAACACCAAAAAGTGAAAAAGTGTTTAATCAGTTAAGTATTTTCTCAAGGGGACCTGTCCTTTCAATATCCCATTTTCTAAATTAATAAAACTGCATATCAACGTTTACTTTAAGATTATTTTCTCTGTAACATTAAGAGAGAGAGAGAGAGAGAGAGAGAGAGAGAGAGAGAGAGAGAGAGAGAGAGAGAGAGAGAGAGAGAGAGAGAGAGCAACAAACCTAAGCTCTCTCTCCTTTGATATTTTTT